GCGAAACGTGACCGTTGAGAACTGCGCAACGCACGGTTGACTCTGGAAGGGATTATGGGTCTGTATTTACTGCTTACGCTTAGTTCCAAGTGTTGTAACTGGCTTATTCATTTTAATGCTCCCCCCACCAACGACATGAGCGCCTTCAAAAGCTTTTCTTGGCAGCCTATAAGGATAGACTCAATGAAAATCCAGATATATTGCTGTTTAAGGACAATCTCGAGGTGGTGCTTGTGAAAATCCAAGACAATAAACCGTCACTGGTCACCGGCTACACAAAAGGCTACGCTGCTCCAAAAGAGGACTCTCCGCTAATGTTGCACCAAAATTGCTCAGTTTCAACAGTAAGTTGTCCAAAGATCTCTGGTTTTATTGAAGTGCTGTGAAGATATTGAGGAGAGAATGTCTTCAGCCAATCAACTACAATGCGCTTCACTCGGCCATTGGCAGCAAATGGAGCAAGACAACACTCGTTGGAAGAGTGCCAAAAGTGGAACGTGAGCTCTTTCTATGGTTTTCCATGCATGGCATGTCAGCCCTTTCTCCCCTTTCTATCTTCCCGCATGTACCACGGTTTTCAGTTTGTAAAAGAAGGCCCATTGGAAGACGGCAAATTCGGTGCACATACGGCTACGCCAGTTTCGATGAAGGTCTGCCCAAAGGACTGTACGAAACGCATCATTCACGACTAATTGCTCAGCAACCACGACCGGTCCGACTACTTGCTCCAGCGCCACAAGCTTCGCCAAAAAACCTACTTGTCATGTTACGTGTGATTATTAGTAATGAAGGTGTTTATAGTAGTTTTTCAGCAGCTCTGACTTCCCGAACCAGCCCACTAATCGCACGAACGTCATTAACAACTTATTATTAGGCTGACATTGTCATGCACTATTGTGCGATACGACCCTTGACTGCTATAAACTACCCAACTAGCCTTTTTGACTGCATGGGCAAAGTCGTAATTTTCCTCGTAAAAAACGCTGTATGAAATAGAATCTTTGCCCTCTTCATGGCTGCGTTCTTCGCAAACCGGTATGACTATGATACTTTCTTTATGGAATGCCATAAATTCGCAAATTACCCACGGTTCCACACCTGTAAAATTTGCCTTGAGATCAGGGTCAATCGTTTGTATGGGCAATTTGAACGAAGGTTCATATTTGTGAGTGCTGTATGTTGCTGATTGTAGTGTGTTTGAGATGAGAAAACGGGGAACTTGTTCGGACGAGCTTTATAAGCCTGCTGGGACGAAAAGTAGGGAGATAGAGTTATTCATCGAAAAACATAGTACTATTGTATCGGAAAACAGGTTCTCTTTAGCTCAAAACGCAAGCTTGCAAAGCTTTGCCTACCATTGGTTTTCAATTGGCTGACACCGATGCCCGCACAAAGATAGCCCACAGTAACGCTCAACAAATCAGTTGACGAATGGCTTTTTTTTGAAGGTTCCTTCCTCAAGACTGCTGAATCCTCTCCAAAACCTGCAATGGTTACTTCATTTGGTTTCGAACTCCCAATAAAGAATCAATCTTCGGATTAACCAGAGTGCAAAAAATATTTTATTCGAATTCATTGCAAACAAGCGAAAATTCTTTTTTCAACGTCAGTTTCAGATTCAAATAATCTGACAAATGAACTAAGTCATTAAGGGATCACTTCCTACATTTTCCACTTAAATAGACACCATTCGCTAAAACTCCTCTCGCAGTGGATCAGTTGATGTTTGGCTCATGCGGTTGACCTGGCTACTCCATTAAAGCACCCCATACCGAAGTCACTCCTGCATGCGAGGGCACGATGCTTTGAGTCTTTGCTCTGTTGAAAGGCTATATCAGTTTCGGTGCAAATGCCACGCCTACAGTGCCTAGTGGAACACAACAGCGGGTGTCCCCAAGAGGCCCGTCGCGCGGCGAAGGAAGAGACGCAGATGCGGCAAAGGACGAGTCGCAGCGCGTGCTGTGCGATATGAGACGTAGTATGGTACACTCTTTAACCTGACGCCTAACCGCTACAGTATGCGCTGCGACTCGTCCCTTTGCCGCGTCTGCGTCTCTTCCTTCGCCGCGCGGTGGGCCTGTTGGGGGACACCCCCGTACACGCCTGCCTTAATCATCACCACTATTTTTTAAACGGGTCGCCCACTTGTCTCGTGGCAACCCATACCAAACCCTTCGGCCAAGTTTCAACGTGATAGTTGATGTTCATAATAGATCAAAACTTTTGAGCAGTACATGACTAGCACCCTCGCTGCCAAACATCACAAGTTTAATGTCGTTGCTCCGAATGACGTTGAAAAACTGTGAGAACTTCCATTCCGCGCTCGATCGTATACACTGTACTATTACTCACTCGACAGCGGGTACCTCTTGCAGGGCTTACGATGTATGTAATGAATGAGTAGCATATAGATATGTAGGTTTCAGGAAGTGTTGTGTCTCCTTGGGTGGGGCAATCGCACGACAAATGTGGGGCAGTCGCACGATACTGACTTCATTTTTCAGCGGAGCAACGACTCAAAGTATCGTGCTCTTGCATGCCAGAATGGTTTCGATAGCATGGGGTGCTTTAAATGGAGTAGCTAGGTCTGAAGCCTGGAGCAAAATGTTGAAATCGCTACGGGAGGAGCCGCATAGACGGTTGTGAAAAAAGGAGCTACAAAAATGATCGAAAACTGGTCCAATTTGACGGGAGAAGAAGATGCCTCACTAAAGAATTTGTTTACCAGTTGAGCCAATGTTTGGACCCTGATCATGTATCAACGACTTTAGTAGGTTACTGGCAAAGTGTTAAATTCGTTTAATGTTAGTGATAAGGCGAATCGGGAGCCAAACCTCATCCGAATCATCATCTCTACCATACATTCGTTTGGGTAAGTACAGTACTCATTTGAAATGATGAAAACACTAGTGTGTCTCAGGAGTCGCCCGCAAGTTATAATACAAGCCCAGTTGCGCTCAGACGGAGTGCGTGGCGCAATCTTCAAAGGGACTTGATGCCGCATGCTTTCCACATCCGTCATTAAATGCAACTATGTCCTCAGCGAGAAACTGATTACATTCACACACATATCTGTTATCTCTGAAATTTCTCTATGTCGATGAAATCGGAAACAGAAATTTGTTTTTTGCAACTTCTAATAACACTTGTTTATTATAGTTTATTCCGTCCAGCACATTGAGCAGTGGAGGAATCATTCAAAAGCACACTAGCCCTATACTTTCGACAGTGGTGAGACGGAAGGCTTTCAAACACATTTTCTTCATTAATTGTTCGATTTCTTAAGTCGGTTTTTTTCCAGGTGTGTCCACGACAATGCTATCAACTTTTCGAAACCCGAGACGTACTGGTAGATCCTGTTCCCGAAAATGCGATCTACAATAATCGCCAAAGCTCCCGTTTCGACGGTCTTTACGGATACTATCGTTTGTAGCATAAAATAGTTGGATGAACAACGCCGCACAAATAAAATAAATTATTTCAAGCTTAACAAGTAACAGGCTACACGTCATGTCGGGTCCAATGGGCGACGTGCGTTTTTAAACTATAATATTTTGCATTTTTGAGCGTACAAAGTATATACGATACCATCATACACTCACAACCCTGTAAAAGGACACACATTTTCAGAAGCTGTCGTCCGTTACGTGTCAACATACTGATGCATTTATTTTCTCTGGAAATTTGTGATTTTGAGATGTGTCTTCGACATATGCAACTGTGAAGCTCTCCACTCTTCATGACAGTGAGATCAACTCCCTGGAAGCCTGATGCGACCCAGTCACGTGAAGTGGTGGTCGAAGAGATAATGAGCTTCGGTAACGTGGGCGAGGTCCTACTCATTAAAGCACTGACAGTACATTCGGCCCCTACATTTCTACACTAGAAACCTAATGTAGGAATGCTGAATATTCCATGCTCCCCTTGCAGTATGAAGATCGTGGGTGTTTCTCAAAAACTGTGTTGATCCTACTGCAATACCATCAAAATGATTGTCAAAAGGAGTGATTGTGGCAAACGGGGCTAAGAGATTAACTTTACTGCAATCTTAGCAGAGGGCTAACAAAGGGAAATATGCCTAGTCGATAGGCAGGCAGGCACCCAAAAGTGGGGGACGATGTGTGATTTGCAGCGGAGTGTATGCCTCGGCGGCTTAACGGAGCCGTACCCGTGCTGCAGCTCGCTCACATCCTACTGGGCTAACTCTCGCCTAGAACTCCTAACGCCGCACTCTGCAGCTTTTAGCAAGAAGCAGAGCAGGGGATATTCGCCACAGCGTGGACGTCCATCATGCAGGTCATGTTTTGCCCTTTACCTAATACTAATTGTACGCAAAAATTGACAGACAGACGTTCAAATCGAAGTGAAAAACTCACCGGTCCTCTTTTGGAATAGAAGCATGGTATTAGGAAATGCCGGAAGGCAGGAATGGTAAGAAGAAAGATATTGTAATCCAGAAAGAGCTTCGTTGATAACAAACGCCTTTTTAAATGTTTCACAAGAGGCTGGGTTGTGAACAAAACATTCGCAGACCGGATTCGAACCCGCACCCCTCGTTTTTAAATAGTTGTTAAAAAAACTCGTCACTTGTCAGTCATGAAGGCGATATTTGATTTTTGCTGAGTGGCCTGCATCAGGGAATTTCGGCTCCCCACTGTTTAAGGATGTTGTGGTGTTAAAGTGCTACCAGGCACGTTTGCTCCTCAATTCCCCCACTATTTTAAAAAATAGTCACATAGCTAGTGTTTATTACTTTTATTATTATTTATTGTTGTTGAATATTAATATTTTATTATTATTTTTATATTTATTATTTATGGTTCACGGTTTCCTGTTGTGGATCATTCTGTTTTGCAAGTTCTCCTATCCACTTCCTTACTAGAACATCTGTAGCTAAATCAAGAAAACACTTGAGCTCCTGTACAGACATATATAACTGTGGGCTATGATAAAGGCGACTAGTAAAGCTAGTCCGGATGCTTCTACAAAGCCCACCGCTGCGGATATGTTGGTGGTATGGATACCTGAGGGGGTCCAAGACTTACAATTAGTGGTCCCCTAAGACCGTAGAACATCGCCAAAATACACGAATCCGAGGCAGCTGTCCGAGCCGCTACCCAAGAACACGTATGGTGAGCAGGGTCAGTCCTATCGTTGTTACTTTTTCAAAAATTTTTACGACCCCCTCCCCTCAAGGTGGACTTGATTACGACCCCCTTTTCGACACTCGACCTAGCCTACTACTCGTGAAAACTCCACTTTCACCACAAACTCACATGTACTTTCACGCGACTGAAGCGGATACGACCCCCCCCCCCTCTATAAACTCAACCAGGTACGACCCCCCCCCGTTGTTACTAGTAACAACGTAGGATTGACCCTGATGGTGAGAGTTTGAACAAGCAGGTCAATTCAAATTGGGCGTTCTACGTATCCGACTGGAGAACTTTAAAGCGAGAGATTGCGATAGGATTCTGTTGTGCTCATAGTGGAAGTGAAGATGCTGAATAATGCCCTAGTAGCGAAAAAAGCAAAGAAATCCGTCAAAAACGCGCAAAATGGGACCACTTCCTCTGCCCGTTGACCTCCGATAATGGACGAGTTGGCAACCAACTAAGAGGTCGTCGGCACTCGTTAAACCATAGCTGCCATCATACCACCAGAGATCATACCTTGATTGATATAGCATTCCATGAGAAAAATTTGGATACGCGCTCGAAGTGGCATACCTTATCAGAATGATAATCGAACAGCGATCTGCTGAGGGGCGGAGCACAGGCGGAGGCGGAGCTCAGAAAGGATTGGCAGCCCCAGGGCGCTGCAACGAGCGCACCTTTAGTCACAAAAAGGCCACATCTCGATTCCTTTGGGCTCTAGCTACTGCTTGAAGTGCTGCTCGTTCTTCCATGCTGCACAGAAATTTTATCGTAATTTCTCGCTTTAAGGGCTTCCGACAATTGAAGATCTGAAGAT